CCAAGATATTGTACGACTTTGAGTACAAATGCAGCGGATATGTCAAGTGATTAGCCTGAAGTCTATTTCTCTCTTTTCAGATTGTTGTTTTTTGATCTTACAGGTGTCATTAATAATTCTGCAAGATATCTGGTAGTAGCATATTATTACTAATAGAAACAAATTGATATAAATAAATGCTAAAGGCTTGACACTGACAATAAATGGTAATTACAGAAAAGCAACTTGGAGGTTGTTGAGTGGAATATTACTGTAGGGTTTATTGTATTATTAATTGTATATATATAACAATAATAATAATACAATAATAACTATAAGATATTAAGAAATAATGCTGCCTTTAAGTAAATTCTTAAAATACTTAAACATTTTAAATAATATATTAAAGCTGAGCCAAGTGTGCTGGAAAAGTTTTATATGTGAAATAATATATTTAATTCATATTTCATTTCTTATATTATGATTGAAAAATATTGATGGAATTTTGAAACGAATTTTAAAATACTTCAGGTTACTTTTCTATTCTGTTTTGTATTAAAATGTTTACAAAATTTACCCTTAACAAATGTTTTTAATAAAAATGGTATGGTAATACTAACTTTATATTCTTTGATTTTCTATAGCTTATTAAAAAAAAAAAAAAAAATCTTCTAAAACTTCTTTCTTGACTTCCTATCTTTAAAGCTAAAAATAACCTTTAAAAGCCATCAAACTTTTAGATTTTCCTTCTGAATTTATTAACACAAAATAAAGATTGATTATTTACCCATTCATTTTAATGAAACGTTTGCGGTCTTTAAGGAATTTTTTTTGAGCCGCCTTTAAGTGTTTGTTCGAGGCACACATTGAGTGAGACTTTTATTTGCTTTTTGTACATTGATGTACGATGTGCCAGACAGTTAGATAGTTTATTTATTTTTTTTGTATTTTTTTGTAGCTTTGTGTATATATTATATGGCCATTGACGGGGCACACCCGCCCCGTAACCCATTTTCAGCGTCTGTAAATCAGTCAAAAGCACAAGGCCGTCCCCGTGCGGGTTATGAACCTGCAACCTGAACCGGCTCTCTAAGCCAACTTAGCCGGCTTATGTGAGTTTGCCAAGAGCCAAGAGGTAAGGTAACCCATCCAGTAGTTACCAAAGTTATTGTATTTTTTTTGGGCCCCGCAAACACTTTCAATTTCAATTGCGTTTGCAACGCACACCAAAAGCCACACCGAATGCCCGCGAAATTGCGGTTGTAGTTGCCTCCAAAGCTGGGTGTATGTGTGTGTGGCTCTTGCGGCTAGTGGCTAATAAAAACAGGCTCTCCAAGTGGCCAGCAGCAGCAGCCGGCAAAATGCAAAAAGTTGAACTAGGTCAACAAGCCAAACGCAGCGGCGCAGCCGTTGACAGCGACAGAGGTAGAAGCAGTAACTCAGTTGAATTGGCTCATTACATGCCCCTTCCCCCCTCAGGCACTTGGAAAAATATGCACCCAAAATTAACATAATATATGGAAAATTCTTAAGAAAACTATAAACAAGAAATGAATTTGTATAGAAGAATTTTGAAGAGTTTAAAAGGGGAATGAGAACATAATTACAAGAAATATTCAACAGATTTTTAGCATACCATATATATATATATTATAAATTATATTATATATTCATAAATTATATATTATATATTTTATTATATTATATTATACTCAATATATACAATAAAAATCTATTATCTATATCTATGTTATTAATAAAAGAATCTTCTATAAAAAAAACTATTATTTTAAGGAATATTTTGAAAAGTTTAAAAGAAAATCAAAACAAACATATCATTTATTTGCAGTCATTTGTTTTAAAATAAAACTTCACTTTAAGACACATAAGAAAATTCCAGAATGTTTTAAAGTGAGATTTGAAGATTCTTGTTATAAAATAGATGCCTTTAAATATTTTAAATTTTATTAGAATTATTATTATTATTTTTTTTAGGTTGTAATTCAAAAACTAGCCTAATTTTCTTTCAGTTTTCAACCAGGCATAAAGGCATTCGTTGTAGGTTATTAGCTTCGATAGTTAAATCTACGCACGGGTTACTTTGTAATTTTAAATGCATTACATTACAGGTTATAAGAATTTACTTTCGAAAGGCATTAAATTGATAGTCACAATACGAAAATTAATAATAATATTATAAATTAATAAAGGAAATGAAATCTAGATATCAAAAAGGCAATAGAATTATGTGTTAGGTATTATATAAATTCTATTTTATTATAGAAATGTCTTCTATTAATATATTTTCTTTAAATAAGAATGCTTTAATATTATTTCTTTTAATATAAATATTTACTCATGTACTAAAATAAAAAACACTCACATTGCTGATCTTTTCGTCCTTTTTTTTATTAAAGCACTTTCATAAAATATTTATGATAATTAATTAAAATTATTTTCAAAGGAATACTTTTGCGGAAATGCCATAATATTTTCCCCACTCCCCAAACTCAAGTTTGTTGCCTAAGTCTTTTGTTTGACTTTTGCTAGCAATTCGTTGACATAAATCCAAGTCTAATAAATGCCTTGTTGATCGATGAGTCGCTCGATTGCCAATTCAATCACAATAATCAGCGAACAATTTAAACAATTTAAACATCAGCGATTGAAGCGTTGTGAGGCCTCAGAATCGCCATTCGTTTGACTTACAAAATCCGTGAATTTACATGCAAACTCTGTGGGTTTTCTGAGTGGGCACACGGCATGCAAATGTCAGTAGTTTTTTTAGCGTCTCTATTTTATATACATTTTGTATATATTTTTTAACTCCCATGCACAAAGATGACGAATGCCGCACATCTTTCACGATCATATCTCACCACAGACAGTGTGTGAAGTCTTTTTTTGTAAGGTAAAGTGAAAATATAATTGCCACAAAAAGAGAGATGGAAAGAGAGACTTATGCAATACAATATAAATTGAAATTTCTTTTTATTTTTTTGTATCTATTTTAAAAAGCACTTAGCTTGTCAATGTGTCAACCTCAACTCGATTCCCTTGTCTAATTTTAATAAATTTTACAACTTCCCAGAGATCTCTCTGGAGCCTATAATGACCTTGTCTCGTATATTAATAAAGAAATAAATTGTCAAAGCCTGCAATCAGCTGTGTGTTAAATGCAATTAATTAACCCTGCTGGCCGCGTGACTTTGGCAAAATGTATTGCTCAGCTTTGCCGGCTCTTAAAGTAATTAACAATTCAAATTGAAATTGATTAGTGGTGGTTTTTAATACTTTTTTATTAACCATAATTACCGGCAGTGCAGTGGCTGTTATTTACAACAAAATCCGGTTCTAAGTTTATGATTTTTCCAGCTAAAATCCAATAATTAAATATTTTAATAAAAACTTGGATTTAAAGTTCAACATCTTAATATTTAACCAATTTTAACTGGTTTTCGGGCACTCGTTTAATTCGTAAATCAAAATAAATTATCGCGAATTCACAGGCTGGTTTTACATCATCATCCGGAGAGAGGGAGAGATGTAAAGATACCATCTTTAAACTTGTCCCAGATTGATCTTAATGCCTTAAATCTCTTTCACGGTTCCAGTTAAAAGCCACACGTGCTGTACCCATTACCTTTTGGCCATTATTTATCGGACATCATTTTGGCAGCTAATTAAATTGGTTTATTGCCAACTTTTATTATCTGTTGGAACTTGAAATCAAAATTCTCAGTGCGATTCTCATTGACACATTTCTAGTCTTAAAAGCTTGAAGGTTCCGAGGGTTAAAATTGACTTAACCAAATCTCACACAATGCTGCTAATCAGCCAAAGTCAAAATAAAAGCGAAGGTGAATTATTCTTCTTTTTTTTGTTGGGTGAAGGTAGCAAAAATCAGACATCGTTTAACCATTTTTATTATTAATCTGTTGTAAAACAAAAGTGAGAAGGTCTCACTCCACTTGGAGACAACGAATATTTTGTTATTTCATTCGGAAATTAGCAGCGTTTTGTTTATGGGCATTTTTTTTTATTTGCTGATAATTAAAATTCAAGCAAAATTTTGAACTTTGCTTTAATTAAAATAAAGCATTCAGAAGGTTTATGACTTGATTTTCATTATAATTTGCGAGATCACAAGGTTTTAAGTGTATGTCGGAGAGGAAGGTTCTTTTTAAAGGGGAGTTTTTTATGGGGAGGTGTTAAAAATGTTTAACATATATATATTTACAATTTATTATCCAAGGTTAATTGGTTTACTTGTATTTATTTTATATATATTTAAATTTAAATTCCTGCTAAAATATTAAGAAATGTTTTATTTGGAACCTGACCTGCCGGACTTATTTTGGAATATAATCAATATATATAAAGCTAAGTAAATAAAATAAAATGAATATTGATTTAAACAGATGCAGATTTAGAAGCTTAAAAAAGAACGAAGAGTCCTTTCCGACCTTATAAATCATATATATTCTTGATCAGCATCAACAGCGGAGTCGTTCTAGTCACGTCCAGTTGAAAAATAAATTTTCGAAATTTTTCCATTTTTTTGTCTTAAAAAGATACATCATTAAAAATTAAAAAATTGATAAAAATTTGATTCTTTCAAAACTTTATATTTAGTATGCAGATTTATTAACCGAATGAAAACTAACATAGGAACGCTTTCCGAATTAAAATCAATGCTGTTTTGGCTTTGTTATGAGTTTTTAAAACTATGATTTATCAGAAAAATTATCTCATAAAAATATTGATAAATATCGATTCAAAGAATATATTTAAGTTATGAAATGTTGTATCTGTCATTTAATTGGATCATAGATCTATGGATTTTCTATTAAGGATTCAAATTTTATATTTATATTTATAAAACTCATCTTATCTTTATATGTATATTTATCTTTGTTGTATAACTTATTATTATTTATTTATAATGCAAATTGCTTGAATTTTCTTCTATACTTAATTTTATTTATATGAAATTAGTTAGTTTTGTTATGTAAACTCACCTGAAGGATGTATCCAATGCAGCAGATAATGAACCAGGCAACATCCGCAAAGGCATCCCAGATATTCCACAAAGTTTGACCCCAACCCTCGGCAGCTGGCGGGGATTTTGGGTCCTGGGCAGGGATCACTCCATTGCCATTGCTCAAAGGATGATGACCATTGGCAGAAGGCAGATTGTTATTGTTCTTCTCCATGATTACTTTCTTTGACAGCACAGATTTTTAAGCACTTTTTCTATGGCTTCTTATTAAATACTATTTTATTTTTACTGTGTAAGTTGGATCACAATTTCCTAAAGGCACAAGTTATAGATTTAATTAGCTCTCTTTTTATGTAATTTTTCGTAATTTTATTGTGGTAATTTTATGCAAGTTTGCCGTTAATTAAAAGAGGCGAAAAGAAAACACAACCGCAAGCAGCAGACACCGAGATATATACAAACATATACATATATTTTGTATTTTGCTTTTTTAACTGTTTTGGCTTAATTTCGGTGAGTGATTTGGAGTTTTTTGTTATTATTATCTGTGTGTGTTATATTTTTTTGGGGATATATGCGGTTTATTTTGAGTTTTTGAGTTTTTATTCCGCACTGCACGTCCGCTCTCGTGAGCGTAGCAAACGAATTTGAACGTTGTGGGCTCCAAAGGAATGAATTTCGACTTCTTATTTTGGCGCGCTATTGGATATAGTCGACGTCGGCGGAGGCAGCGACTGCGACAGCGACGTCGTCGCCGAAGCTTGATTTTGTGACGTCACCGAGCTTCAGCCACAGCTTCGGCTTCGGCTTGAAGTTTTTTTTTTTCTCAGCTTTTCGTGTATTTTGTTGTTGTTTTATTATTATTTTGTTTTGCTTATTTCTCGTTCTTATGTTGCTTTTTAGCTGCGCTTCGCTTTAACGCTATTTATTTATTTCATTTCTGTGGCTTTCGTAATTTTTGGAGCTGTTTTTTTCCTATTATTTCCCTAATTGTTTAAAATTAATTGAGATTTATGCTGCCTGCAGTTGGGTGTTAATTCCTAAGTATGACTAATTATGTTTATGGTTTAATTTAAGCACTTTTTAACAGCTTAGAGCTGACATTTCTTAGAGAAAAATAAAGTTTGAGTCGAAAAAAGGTTTTAAAAATTTCATTGCCTTCTAAAAAATTATTAAACTTGAGTTTTTGGTTAATAAAATTATAATACTCTTACGGAAAGGCTGGCTTTGTTCTTCTTGTTTATTATTTGTGTGTTTTAAAACACTTTAAATCAAAGTAATCATTTGTCAAAGGCTGCTTTTAAGTATGACTAAATAATTTATGGTTTAATTTAAGTGTTTTTTAACAGCTTAGAGCTTGAATTTCTTAGAGCAAAATAAAGTTTGAGTCGAAAAATGGGTTTTAAAAATTGTAATGCCTTCTAAAAATTATTTTGCTTAAGTTTTTGGTTTATAAAAATAAATTAATAATAAAATACACTTACAGAAAGGCCAGATTTGTTCTACTTTTTAATTTGTTGTGGGTTTAAAAACTCTTTAAACTAATGTAATCATTTGTCTAAGGCTGCTTTTAAGTGGGAAATTTATTTAAATGAATAAATAAATTTAAATAAATGAATAATTATTGGACGAGCACATATACATACATATATGTATGTATGTTATGCAATTAATTAATTCAATGAGCAGGTATTATTATCAATAAGAATATATAATATATTCACAACTATTGCACGTGCATATAAGTGATGCAATTAATGAATTCATTTAACAGGTATTATTATGACTTAGTATATAGTATGTATTATTCTTACTTTGTATATTAATGTGTAAGAAAAGCTAAACTGGATTTTCTATTAATTACCCGGCATCTGTGATATAATTCAGATGTTTAATCAAGTTCCATAATGTTTAGCATTTAAAGAGCCCTTTGGAATGTATTGAAGTCTGATAGTTTTCCAAAGCTGTCTGAAATGTGGTCTTTTGTACCCTTTCAGGTGATGGAAAGCGTGTCATTTCCTCAGGAGAGTATTGTTCCAAAGCAGTTTTCCAAGCATGTATATAAGGCCAAGTTGTCTCAACCACATCCACATGATAGATGGCATTCAAGACATCCAAATCCCATCTCATGGGTGAGTTTCCATTTATAAAAAGTGTTGATTCTGGTATACTTTTGAAGCTATCCTCACTGAAGATGCTACTCTTCCTGCTGCTGATGCTATTTAAATCCGTTAAACTGAAGTCGTGAAAGCTGTCTTCATCCTCGCTATTTGACAAGTTTAGTAGCTGTAGTCCTTGCAGCAGTTCATCAGGATTTGGAGCCTGATCCTCCTCCTCAGTGCTCTTCAGCGTATGGACAAGGGTTCCAGGATCAGTTTCTGCCTGCAGATCACCCTCCAGTTGAGACATCCTTGATTTCAGATAACCTTTAGTAGAGCCAATCCCTTGGAAGAACCAATGTCCGCATAGGCGTCCAGAAACTCCCAGTATTCCCGCCATTCTAGATGCTCTTCATGGGCCAGTTGGCGTCCCACTATCTCCAGACCCTTACCCATGTCCGAGTTCTTGATGTGACGCTCTCGAAAGTTGTCGTTTAGAGTGTACATCGATAGCTCCTGGCTCAGATCTGGCAATGAGGAATCTTCAGTGTTCAGCTTCTCCTCTGAGTCTGATTTAAACAGCTTCCTGGGCAACATCTTCAATGAACTCATCTTACTGGGCGTCATCTTCACAGGCGAAGTGAATGGCAAACTGGCCAAGGAGACATCGAGCTGCTGCCTAGAGGAGGAGGTGTCCTCCAGCGACGATAGAACTTCAAGGCCTGATCTTGGGACATGGGTCCTGCCAGGGCACTGATAACTAGATTAACCCTAAGACCCTTGGTTTCCTCCTTCATCAACACCAAGTTTGGTGGTTCTTTGGGTGAATAAGGTCGACCCACTTCAGGAGGCACTTCATTCTGTCAGATCTCAGTACGGGTACGTAATATGGTTCATCCAACAGAAGCTCCAGCTTCTTGAGGGTTTCCTGAGAGACTTGATTATTCCGCTGGCAGATGATGTCCTTGGGTTCCTTGCCCTCACGATTTGGCAGCGATTTGCATTGCAAATAACCGATGAGCACCTCGACCACATCCACATGACCATTCTTGGCAGCGAAATGGAGTGGAGTCTCTCCACGTGCCTTATCCGGCATATTGAGATATAAATCCAGCAGGTTCTTACTAAAATCTATGCTTATTTCAGGACTAACTTCCTTGTCAATGTAAAGCTGGGCAAATTCAGGATCCGCAATGGTTTCTAGAAGGAACTCTGCAATACTGGATCGGTTTAACTGGGCACAGATGTGCATGGCATTGTAGCGAGGACCTTCCTTGAGGCTGGTTGGAGTATCCCCACTGCTGATAAGATAACGAGGATTTTGCCAGACAAACCGCTTGACCTGCTCCAGATTTCCAGCCTCGATTAGTTTACGGAACTCCTGTAACTCTTGCTTGGCGGGGGAGTGAAAGGATGAACGCTCGCTGATGACTGGAGGCAGCTCCTGGTGGTGTTCCTTGTGCTCCTCCTGATCCTCGCGGCTCTCGAAACCGAATTGAACGAAGTTCTCGGCCTGCTCCTGGCTGGGAAACTCTCGAAGACGTGCTTCCTTGTGTCTCCGCAGGACATCCAGTGCTTGGATTTCTCCAAAAGATAAGGCTTTGGTAATTTATGTTCGTGTCCTCGGCACTTGGGAGTTCCGTTTCCGGTATGTAAACCCCAAAGTAAGGCATATTTTTTGGCAACAAACTTGTTTATCACACTGTTTACTATAATTTAAGTTCAGAAAAATTAATAACGTTCATTAATTTCGTTTTCAATGGAATTATTAATAATTCATTAGATTCTTCGTTTTAATAAATATAAAATAATCGATTTTACAACAACATTTTTAAAATAATTTTAACTTTCAGCGTTCATCTTAATAAATACTTCTTTATAACTGAATTCGTAATATTTTAAAATATTTTTCGTATTAATAAACATAAAATATCCAACTTTATGATCAATTTACAGATTATATCGTTTACATATCCCTATTAGCATCAATCTTTATTATAAATAAATAACGACCTTCACCGACTTGATCACTTTCCCCCAAAAAATCCATTGATATATTTTATTTTATAAACAAAAGAAAGTCGACTGCACATAAATTTATTCACAAGCCACTCTTTTTCTTGGTTTTTATCCTCTCTTTTCCTTATTTAAACAACACAATGCACTTTGTTCTCTTTTCTCCTCATCCTTTGCCATTCCCTCTCCCAGAAAAATGAGAAACAAAAGAGAAACAAAATCAATTTTTTTTTGTGTTAATAAAACAGGTTATGTTAATGATTATTAACTTTGGCTTGGCGATTCTTAACGATTTCGTCACATCTTTGGATTGCATAATAAGCAAATTATTTAGTTATTTGATTTGATGTTGATATCGTTTTTTTTTTTGTATCCGTGCGTTATTTAGTTTCTTTTTTTCACTTCGATTTGCATTTTTAACAAGAAGCTGAGCGTTGGGTCAAAAAACTGATAAAAATGTTTAAGGCCATTTGTGAACGCAACGCATGTCGCTACAAACAACAACAAAAGATTTAGAATTTCACCATAATTTTCTTCATTTCTTTCTTTTACTTTCTATGACGAAATTATAAACACACACATTATTTAATTGCAATTTCACTTTACACCGATATTCCAGTTTACCGATATTATATGGTGATGTTTTTTCGCTTAGCCGGCATTATCTCCTTATCTCGATTAATTACCAATGTATGCAAATATCGATTTTACTGGATTATCAAGCATTCTTTTTTCTTATATTGTGTCTGGTTCGTTGTTTTTCGGTTATTTATATTTTTGCGACTGCTTTTCGCTTTAGCTTCGTTTCCCTTTTCGTGGCTTTTGGTTTGACTGTTGTGACGCAGGCGCAATATGCGATAAATATGGGGATGCAGAGCAGGTGCAGAAACAGCTGTTACCGTTGTTTTGGCCAAAGAGAGGATTGAGAGAGAGCAAAAGAAACTAAGAATGACAGATGCATGAACAGCTGATGAGTAGAGTTGAGACTTATGCAAAATAAATTACAATATTATCAGCTGTTAAAACGTTAATAATTTAAATTTAAAAAATATAATAATAATAAATTAATAGAATATATATGTGTTATTTTTATGTATATTAATATTATAATTTAATATGATACTTTTTAGGGTAAATCAAAGTTTTACAAATACCATAACTAAGCCAAAAATGTATTGAGTTCAATTCGGAAAGCTTTCCTGTGTTAGTGCTTATTAGGCTAACAAACCTGCTTATTTATTTATAAAATTTAAATAATTACAGTTTTTGTAAATTTTTTGACAATTTTAACGATGTTACACCTTATAAAATTTTCAAAAAATTTCAAAATTCTTTTTCCCACCAGACATGGCTAGATCAACTCTTCTGTTGATGCTGATCAAGAATATATATATGATTAATGGGGTCGGAAACGACTTCTTCACTTTGTTACAAGCTACGAACTGTAATGATAATACTCTGAAAGGGTATAAAAATACCCAACATTAATATACTAAATTTATTTTTATTTTTAAAAACACATGACCATCTAATGATTCATTTCCCTCTTTCAAGAAACGGGCGCCACACACTATTTATCGCTTGCCAATTTCCGCAATAATTATAAAAATAGCATAATAACTGTCGAAATTCTACACGAATTAGTTCTAAGCCATAAAAATCGATCTTAAATCGTAGATCGCGGATTGTGGCGCATGTTGAGAGCGTGTTTATTTCCTTTTTCGAGAATTTAACCTCGTGCCCTGTTGACCGAATGCTGAACTCTGGCCAAAAAAATACAGAATCCAAATTTGAGACGGAGTCTGAGCCCAAACCCGAACCCAAGTCCGTGTCCAAGTCGGAGATTGGCCAAAAATAAAAATCAGACAATCGCAAATGAATCAACCGGCGATAGCCTTCGTTGCAAAACCCGTTAGAACCAGCACAAAGGTGAGTCTTTATTTTATATATATTTTTTTTTTTCGGTTGGAAGAGATATGCCTAATGCTTGCCGCCAATCTGAACGTTAACCTATTTCACTTCCTATCAGTGAATTCTCGTTTTAACTAACATCTGACTTCCGGAACACCAGCCGAAACCGAACGTGTTTTATGCCATGTGTGTGTTTTTTACCCGATGACTTGAGCATTATATGTTGGATATTATTATTATTTCCTAAAAGATACCGACGATGATGATGATGGCCCATTTGATTAGAACTGCCTAGGCAGCCGTTGATTATTAATTATGATTTATTTGAACAACAATAAAGGAGCTGACAGTAATTATTGGCGAATGTTTCAAGGTCACCGAACACCGATCGATGGGCTACTGTTTTGTATCTCTTAGGAATCTAAGCATCTCATTTGCAAAGTGCTAATTGGACATTGAATTGTATTGTGATTTTGAAACGCTCAGGCGGATTCTTGTTAAGAATAACGAGTTTTTTATTTAAAGGGGAATTGCGTTGTGGAGTTATTGAATGTTATTATTATTATTTGCGATTTGTGATTCTAATAAGTTCTGGTTTTAGTGTTTGTAAACAAATTTTCGTCTGCCGGGTTGGTTTGTTATGATTATGGTGTTGGGGCTTTTTGGTATGGTATTTTTAAAGATTGTGTCAGACTGAGTGATTTTGGTGGGAATTCTTTTGGGAATTTGTTTTGTACATAAAAAATCAAAGGTGTTGTGAAGAACTAGACATAATTTTTAACCTGTATACCATTAAAATCGAATTATAGTTTAATAGAACAGCGGAAAAAGCTGGATATTAGCATATTTACGATTTTTATATTGATTTTTCGACAACAAGTTTAAAAACTCATAGCTAAGCAAAAAGCATTATTTTAAGCGGAAACGTTCTATGTAGTTTTATTGGTGAATAATCTGCTTACTAATATCGAGTTTAAAAAATTAAAATTCTTTTATCAAATTTAATTTCAAATCCTCAAAATTTTGGAAAAAAATTGTCAAAAATTTTGTTCTACCAAACATGGCTAGATCGATTTGGCTGTTGATGCTGATCAAGAATATATATGGTTTATGGGTCGGAAATGATCCTTCACAGTTTTACAAGCTTTAGACTCATTATAAAACCCTTTAAAAGGTATACAAATCAATGGTTCAAAAGTCGAAATTGCTAACAAAAGAAATCCACCTTGTTAACAAATCAAAACTATGTTAATTAAGAACTATTCTTAATTCTTTCTCTAAATTTAGTAGAGTAATTCTGACTCAGCGAAATAAAATCTAAAATATATGTAAGAAACCAGATAATACCCTGATTCTTTAACCAAAAAATATCATAATTGCTTCTTCTCACAAAGCATTGGTGTTTTTTTTTGTAAACCTGACCAACAACTTCCGACTTCTTCATAGAGCCGCATTCCCAAAGCCCATAGACAAGAAAAAAAATATAATAAAAACCAAAAAAAAAAAAAAGACAAACAGAAACACTAAATCTTATGTGTGAAGCCTGAAATGGCATTGAATTTTGATTATATTGTTTCTGGCTTTGATTTCAATTAACATAAATGCTCTAAAGTCTAATCGACGAACATCTGTCAGCTGTAAAGTCACATAAATGTTGTAAGAAAATCATTTAATCATTATCATCGACCTGAAGATTTCTTTTTTAAATATTAGGAAAATCTAGGCCAGACGAAGGCGGCTTAATATCTATAAATTTCACCCAAAAATAGACAAGTTAGCCTTAGCAGAAATGTATTTTTAATTGAAATCGTTAAACAAATCATAGGTAAAAAGGCCAAGCAACTGACAATTTTTGGCTGCAATTTGTTTTTCTGTATTATTTTTGGGCTTGGAGAAGGTCGAAGTCGGAGTCGGAGTCGTTAGCTTGACGAGAGCAGCCTCTACAATAAAAATAAAGCCACTTGAAAATCCAACTCCTGAAGTGCACACGTTCAAAATTAAATGGTTTGTTATAAGTTTTTGGATAGTTTGACTGCCGGCTTTTATGGTTTCTGTTTTTTTATGGCCATTGTTTTCCAGAAACTCGTTTCGTTCTCGAGTCTAGACACTAGCTTAAGTTTACCCTTTCACCGAAAAATAAAAAAATAAAAAAATGAAGCAGAAAATAGAACACTCTCGATTGGATCTTGGATTTATTTATCTATTTGATTAGTACAAGGTCTTCCTATGATCGGGCTTGATTGCCTTCTTAACTGTTTATTTATTTTATTTATTTTTTTTTGGCTGCTTGGCTTCACATTTTGTTTGTTTCAAATTTTAGCACAACTTGCGGGAGTCATTTGAGCAAGTCAAGGTCGTCGTCTTCTCAGATAAATGCCAGTTTTAACAAGTTAGGATATGATGATGATTCTGCCGAGTAAATAGAATGCAAATTATTGTATAATTAAAATGGGGGGGGGAGGAGAATAACACTATCCTTGGGAATTAACAAATGAACATTTGTTCCTAAGCCATGTTTAAATATTGTTTTATCTCTTTAAATATGTCTTTATGCTCAAGATTTATTTAATCTTTAAACTTACTATGGTTTTTTATGTTTGGCAATTTGTTTTTTAAGTGCTTTAAGTTTTTTTATTAAATATATTATTTTATTTTATTCCTTCTTTATGTTAACCTCTTTTTTATATATTATCTAAACTTGAAACTTTATTTATCAGCATTTTTCTACGTGACTTCAAATGCATGCTATTTTTTTGCATTTATTATTTAAACTAGAAACCCAAAATTAAAAACTAGTTGTCTAGAGTCTAGACTGTTATTTTTTAAACCTGATATTCTGGCTAAGTCCAGCTGACTTGCCCACTTAATTATATTCTAATAATAGAACAAGGTTTCATATGGATATGGAGTTATAAATATTAAGAATTAGTGAATTATGTATATTTGCAAAAAGTTTTTATATAGCTCCAGGTGATTTATATTTATAAAAGACAAAATAAATATCAAACTATATTAACTTGAATCTCATTTATTACTGAGATAAATTGTTTCTATAAGAACTAGAGACTTAATTTCCCTACCATTTTTTTATTACTTAAAGACTAAAGCTTGGCCGAGTTTTCCCTTATATATTTTAAAAATTAAACCAATTTCCCAAGGAAACTCGACTACCTTGGGGAAAAATGAAGGCTACCGAGAGCAGTCCATGCTGAAATGTCATTTATTAGCTATGCAAAGGAGATTGCACTTGGCCAGCACTTGAGAAGCATCAAAAGCAATGACCCTTTTGGATTTCCCTCTCCCCCAACTCACCTGCAGTTTTCCGCTTTTCCGAGAGAGAGAGAGCAACCAACTGTAAACGTAAACAATATCCACTGCGCAGGACAGCAATTCTTATTCCGGGACAGCTGTGCGCCGCCTCGGAATCGGGTGAAAGCTTCTTGGGCAAAAAAAGGAAAAGCTGAAAGGCGGACAAGTGGAAAAGCGGAAAAGCTTCAAGTGAGCAGTCAGTGGATTGCGGCCAATTTGGGCGAGCGGTTTCGCGTTGCCACCGTTGAAATTTTCACGAATTTTCCCAGGTTACGTGTCAAGGAGCAAGTCTCTGACTCCAAAGAACGCGTGTGTGTGAGCCAATTAAAGGCCAAAAGCTCATCATCAATTGTGCCTGTGGCCAAGTGTCAGGTGTTAAAGGTTTTTTGTTTGTGTGTTGTTACCAAAAATTAAAGATCAACCCTTGGGCTAAAATAAAAAAAAATGCCCTCCCCTAGCCTTTGTGTTTGAACCTGGCCAAGTGCCAGAGCTGAATAAAAAGGGAACCCGGAAAAGCGATATCATCATGTCGAGTGGCAGGTAGGATATATCCATTTTGTGTCATATATATACTCTGTCTGTCATATCTATTTAGTTGTTATGACTGATATTTGTTGTGTGTAATCAATAAATTGATTTTTGATTGCCTTGTGTGTGGGTTTTCCTTTCTTTCTTCGCCGATTCTGTTTTTTGTTGTCTTCTGTCTGCTTTTGGGTTTTCTTTTCCTTCTTTTTTGTATTTCTTTTTTGTTTTTGTTCTGCCCTTTTCTGGGGAAAGCGGCGTCACACTGACTGGTAAGCGTATCGCCTAAGGGCTTGCCTTTTGAATCGCGACTGCTTTTTGCCTTGGCCCGCAGTGCGTATACTTGATATGTGACTGTGAGGGAAGCTTTAGAAATTTAATTATAAAAAGTTAAAGATTTTACTTAATTAACATAAGGGGACTTACGAATTCTTAAGAAATTTATTTATTTATATTTAATTTGTCTGTATTTCTATTTATTTTTATAATATTTTCACCTTATAATATGCGTATACTTGATATGTGACTTCGGGGGGGAAGCTTTAGATATTAAATTATAAAAAGGGTTTCGGAGAAAGATTTTATTTAATTTGCTTAAGGGACTTACGAATTCTTAAGAAATTTATTTATTTATATTTAATTTGTAACTATTTATATTTATTTTTATAATATTTTTCCCTTTTAATATGCGTATACTTGATATGAGTAAACTGGAGTTCTTTTTAAAACCTTATAATAAAACAAATAAGGAAACTAGCTTAGGAAAGCCAAAGTTTATATACCTTTACAGTTACAAATTAATTATAGAATCAAATCGAAGATCGATATTTTTATATGAACATTTTTCAACAAAGCAACGTTTAAAAAACTCATAACTAAGTCAAAAATGCATTAATTTCAATTCTGAAAGCTTTTCTGTGCTAGTTTTTATTAGATTAATAAATAAGTACATAAAATTTAACATTTAAAATATTTAAAATTTTTTCAATACAATTTTAACGATGTAACCCCTTATAAAATTTGAAAAAATGTCAGAAATTTTTTCTTTCTTCCTGAGATGGCTAGATCGATTCGGCTGTTCATTCTGATCAAGAATATATATGATTTATAGGTCGGAAATGACTTCTCACTGCATTTTAGGCTTCTGACTAAAATTATAATACCCTACAATTGAATCAAATCAAATTAGTTATTTTCTTAGAGTTTTCCCTTATGGTTTCCTTAAAGCAATATACTTATAATACAATATATTATATTTATTTGAATTCAATTTAAATTTCCAGATTTTTCTTGCTAATAAAACATAAAGAAACCCTGTTTAAATTTATTACTCCAACCACTTTTTGATATCACTTTTATGTCATGTTTTCAGCTTTACTCTTTCATGATTACTTCCAATTAAGTTTATGCTTTTCCTGGGAATTACTTAAGTATTCTTTTATTGTAATTATTTCATCATAGTCACCAAGTGATTATCCACATTGGGGAGTTCCCCTCTTCCCACACATAAAACTTGTTCCCGATTTGTTTTATTTCTATCTTTTTATTTCTTTACTAACTGAAAGCCTACACATGCAGTGTAAAATAAATAGACACAGAGAGACAGGCAAATTAAGGGGACTTGATATGCTATTTGTTTATTTATTTACTTGTGCAAAAGTTTGCACTCTTCACAACTATAAATAGATACAAAAAGCTTAGAAAATAAATAAATAAAATGCATAGAATTCCACAAATTGTTATTATTAGCTAGAAGCAAGGCCAAGGAGTCTGCCAGCTAATCCTGTAATTAGGATAATCGAGCTGCTTAAAATATGCACGAAATGTACACATAATTACAATCAGCAGAAAATTGGCAGGACCAATAACAGTGGCTTGATGCCTTGTGGCTTATGGTTCTGGCTGTGTGTGTAAGTGTGTGTGGGAGGTCCAATTTCCAATGGCGTAACAGGATATCCCAGGACACAGCTTACACCCCCCATGAGTGAGTCATGGCGTCCAAGAGCCAAGCCACAGAGAGCAAACAGCTTGAAGACTCCTCTGACGGCTTATCCTCTTGGTTTTAAACCCTGAGGAAAAATAGCCTTGGTTCTTAAAGAATTTAAGAATTATATAGATGAAATTAATTATTAATCATGATGAAATAGGTAAAAAAAAAAATAAATAAATAAATATTTTTAGTCAAAACAATATTACTAAATTTTGTATTACTTTTTCTGCACACATTTTTGATTTTTTACACTGCACCTCCTCTTAATTGTCAGCTTGGCGCCAAAGTACAAAGAACAAAAAAATTTGCCAGGCACAAATTTGCATGTCCTTTGTGTCCCTGTGTTTGTCCTGCGGTCACAGTTGCGGCTGTGTGTGTGGGGTTTCCCCTTCCAAACCACAAAAGTCATGTCCTGGGCAAAGTGACAGAGTCGTCACGTCACTTTGGTTTTTATGCAGACCATTGCACTCTTCTACGGTTTTTCCACTTTTCCATTGGAAACACAAATATTTGAGAGGAAACTTTTCTTGTTCGAAAGTTAAACAATTGGTTAAGTAAACATTTTCTTGCTTGAATTAAGTATTAATTCTAGAATTTGACTTGTGAATGTGAAATATAATTTTTGAATAAAGTTTAATGAAAAGTTGGCAAGAAATATATTCACAGAAAGGTAATTATCTAATTCTTGTTTATATGAAAAGGCGCCATACAATTTTTTAAGGTATTAAATTAAATATATATAATTTAAAGTGACATACATAGAGGCTTAAAACCTACTTGTCTTAAAGGTCACTTTATATAAGTACCTTTTTGACATTTTAAATTAATAAAAAGAAGTTTAATAATTAATAAATAATTAAAAAGCACTTCCATTTCCGCCCCAAAGAATTAGGGTTAATTAAAAGCAAACTTTTGGTCATAAAAAGCTAAATGCCAGGACTATAATCGTTTAGCTCACATTCAGTTAATGGTTTTTAAACTTGAAGTAAGATAATATCTTGGTTAAAATCCCAAAAAAACACCCCTCATTAAACAGTAAGTTAAAAACTAATTAGGAAAAAGTAAAACCACTTTTTGTTTGTTCCTGCCCAAAACTTAAGCCGTCTTAAGAAAGCGAAAAAAGCGACCCTCTTCCAATTTGCACAATTTTGTATTCATTAGAGACAAGAATAAGAGAAAGATTGTGCTGGGTAATTTATTTTAATTTTCTCAATTTATTTCGTCCTTCCAGCCTGCTGGACGTCCTCTGCAGTGGGAGTGGCGCCCGCCTGGCTCTGGGAACCTCGGTAATATCCTATTTGATTGTCTACAATGAGGCATCAGCGCCGAGTCTGCTCTTTGCTGTTGTTTTGGCCACCATTTATGGTACCATGGCAGGTGGTTTTTTACTATTAATTAATATATTATATTTTATATTTAATTTATTAACATTCTTTACATTTAGCACGTTGCAAGACCAGTTTGCGGAGCCTGCAAATGCCCTATGTGAGGGCCACAAATAAATTTGACTTTGGTTGCCTTTTTTTGGCCATTTGGCTGGATGCCCTGGCCGCCATGTGTGCCTGTGCTGCCTTGGCCAGGACCCTGAGTGCCTGTCTAGATGCCATGACAGGGGGTTTGGCAAGGATTCTCATATTGGGTGAGTTGTAAGAGGATTTTAATTAAAAGGAAATTTGTAATAATGGTTTTTATATAATTTAAATATATAATAAGGTGAGAAAATAGTATATTAAATTCCAAGCTGTACTACTAATTTAAAAATTTTCCTTATATTTTACTACCAAACACACTTAATTTCAACACAATTTTGCTTTCGCCTCTTAATTTATGCAGCATGTGCCCAATATTTCGTCACGAACTGTGTTGTGAAAATTAAAGTATGAAACGTTGCCTACTTTCAGGCCGCAATGCACCCACGAATGAACCCTGGCCGGATGTGCTTGGTGTATCCGCTGTCTTCCTAGTCACGGGCATGTTCATGCTGGGCCTGGAGGTAACCCCCCATTAGAGATCCCTCATCCAGCTTCCCCACTCACATGCCTTAACGTATTCACAGCACTCGAGGGCCTTCAGCCTCATCCTGACACTTGGCATGTTTGGCCTGAACGCCATTCTCAGTGCCGTTGGCTGGTGGCGGGGTGATCTCGTGGCCTGGTCGACGGAGCACTCCTTCCAGCCGGATGGCATTAGCAGTGTAAGTAGGCGACATCTGGGTATACTCCTCCTTCTCCATCGTTATTGGGTCAGTGCACTGTGCCAGTCTGAGTTCTCTTCTGTTTGGTGGGCTTCCCCCTTTGGATTTGTTATTTGTTGTATTTTTTTCCCTCTGGCTCGTATCGATTTTTGTTGCCGTGACTGGGAACAATTGCGTGACCACAGTTGGAGCCACAGGATACGGGCTTTTGATTATGACACGTACTGGCGGGTTTGGTTTATTTTTGCCCCCGTTTTTGCACCGGCATTCCACGAGGAAAAGTCAGCAGTCAGACAGCAAAAAGCAGAGGAAAATTGTTGAGTCTTGGGGCATAGTTGAGTCAGGGAAATACCCTTTAAAAAAATTTAATTGTAATGATGTTTTAAATGTAATTTGATAGGAAAAATATTAAAACACATTTTTTTTATATTTTAATATTAAATGTGAACATTTGAAATACTTTTAATATCTATACCCTTCACATTCTGTCTATATTAAACGTAAAAGTCCTGATATTTTCATTATAAATCATATTTTAACATGGTATAACGTATTTTCTGATATTTAAAAATCCTTTATATCAAAGTTTACGATAGTTTTGAAATCCAATTAATCGCCATATTTATTTATAGATATATCATATCTCAATAATTTAATAAGACAACCCTAACTATATCAACTGATCTATACACCCTAAAAGAAAACAAAACCGTTTAGTAACAAGAACAAATGCACAATTGCAGACAAAAAAAAAGGGCACAACGTCTGTTATTAGCTTAGCTGTTATTAGTGGCATTATCTAGGTTATAACTCTGGCTATATCCATTCCCCCCTCGCAGGTCTTCCTGGCCGCCGCCCTGCTCACGTACTCCTTCCCCAGCGATTGGCCACAACAGCATCGAAGTGGAAGGTTCACCATTACCTTAATCACCGGATTGGTCAGTATTTCGCTACTGCTGACAGCCATTTGTCTTTCCACTGTAGTGCACTACAAGTGAGTGGAAACAACTATAGATATTCTACAATTAAATATATAACTATAAAATATATATTTCGTATACTTGAAGACCCATGAGGACTATGTGGCTGTGCCTCTGTTCAACATCCTGGATGAGAGTGGCTTCCATAAGCTGGTTCCTGCCTCGGCTTGCATGCTGCTCCTCACCAGTTCGGCGGCCTTTTTGGAGCTCTTTCCGGAGCTCTATGGAATTGTGGTTCGTTTGGCCACCTCGGAGTGGCGGATATTGTCCAAGCAGATCAGTTACGAGAGCTCGGAGAGTGGCAATCCCGTCCTGGCAGTGTTTATAGCCGGTAGCATGTGTGCCATGTTGGCCTTTGCCTGTCCCTTGCAACATTTGAGTTATACCTTGGCTGCTGGCCATATGGGTGGAGTGTTCCTAAGGGCTTTCTATCTCCTATATACTCCCTACCGGCCCAAGTTCATGGCGCCTAGTAGCGAGTCCTCACTGTCGTACAGTAGACTATCCACGGCACCGATAGCCAAGAGCAGCAGCTGCAGCAGTGCAGCAACTTCCAGTTCTAGTCGCCTGAAGAGAAGCCTCTGGAACATAGGTTTAACCAAACATTCGAGTCTAAAGAAACCCAAATCGAAGACCAGGAATAAGCAGGAGCTGGAGAAGGAATGGCTGCTCCTGGGTGAGCCCACATCGCCGTGTCCGCAGAGAGAAAGCAGAGATGTAGAGTCCACCATACTGTCTGATGGAGAGCCGCCTGTAAGTAAAGGAATATAAATAATTAAATTTTTAATCAGTAAATTAATTATATATTTATTAGCCCTCTGACTTTGAGTATCCGGAAAAGTTTGACAAAAGCGATTCGGACACCTCCACGGACATTGATGCCATTGTGGATGAGTATCGCGAGAAAATCAAGGTAATTATATATAAATAATCTATAAAAATGTATACTAAATATCCTTAAATATCCTTATAATCTTAGGTCACCACAGCTGGACCCTTGGAGCGCAGTGTGCGAGTGCCCACGGTGAGCTCCTGGCGTGTTACCATCTTTGCCATTGTGGTCATTGCCTTGGGCATTGCTCTCTGCGTTGCCGGTTTGATGATGCACTGGGCACCGGCAGCCTTGACTGGTGGCATTGGTGTCCTCATTGTGACTTTTATGATGGGTTTTATACCCAAATATACGGGCAGTGTGATTAATGTGAGTCCCGTGCTCTGCGGCATGTCCTTGCTGATGGGCGTGATCCTGTTTAGTAGCTGTGCCGTTCACTCTTGGCCTGGTCTGCTCATCTGGCTAATGGCCGGACTTGTACTGGTCATCAGGTGTGATAAATATTGTTGCAATTGCTTTGAGCACACGACCATTATGAATGCCCAACTGATACCCAGTGTTTCGGGGAAAACGAATCCGGGTTCGGCTGCAGGTTCCACCTCAACTTGGCAGGACCCTCGACCAGCATAAGGATACCAAGGCCTCCGAAGGTGTGGGTGTGGTCAGTCTGCCGCAGCGCATCAATGGACATAGATGACAGTCAGAGTCCTCGGAGGAGGAGGGCGAGGACCTGTTCCACGAGGATTTCAATGTAAGGGATTTTGATGAGGAGGATGATGAGGATTGCTGGACTGATTAAGTAGCTGCTGCCTTTGGAAAAGCCCTCAACTTGCTAAGCAGATTCGCCGCAGGATAAAGATGATGAGGAAAAGCCAGCTTTGAGCCATGTTTGCCTGACATTTTTCTAGCTAGCTAAAATCGATTGTCGAAATTTACCTAAACACGTATTTTATGTAACTCTAGTTAGGCCTTGCTCTCTACAAATAATAGGTTCCAAATAAAACATAATTTTCAACTGGAGATGTTTAATTATTTAATTTAATTGTATAAATACAAGTTCAGCGAACGATAAGATTAAATTAGATAAAGCACGTTTTCTAGGCATATAAATTCTCATTCTCCCTGAGATAATCCACTAGCTCTTGTATGGGCAACATGATAGTCTCCTCGTAGCCCGGTTGTATCTCCATTACCCTTAGTAACAATTCACTGCGATCACAATTGAGATAATAATCGAATTTTTCGGGCTCTGCAGCTCTCAGGTTATTTGAAACACTGACCGACATTTTGGTCTGAGGTTCTGTCAAAGCCCAAATAATTAAGGCAGCCAAACGCATTTTTTGACACTCCTTTAGGAAGTTTTCTCTGGTTATAATATCTGCAGATAAACCTAATCTTATGAGGTGAGACTCCAAGGATTTGTGGTAATGCTCCAGACACTCTTCATAGATTTCTTTCCTCACTTCCGCTGGGGCCACTATATAAAGTAGAAATAAAACATCCAAAGCAGGAGAACAATATTTTGTCAGCTGAAAATCCACAATGCAACAGGCTTTGGGCAAAACTGAGGTGTCCTTTTCAAACTGAAATAATATATTCCTATCCCAGGTATCACGATGGCAAAGCACATTTCTTATGGTCTTTGACGGTGCCACAAATTCCTCAGATTTGGTTAAAAGATTAAAGAGCTTATTCTGTATAAAACTCTGAGCTTGTGCATTTTGATATTTGTGATGACGGGCTGCTAGGAATACTATGGCCTGCAAAAGTATTTAATAAATTAAATAAATTGAGTTATTATTTAAGAAATAAAACCCACCTTAAGTCCCGTAATGAACCAGGAATTATCAGCACTTAAAAGCAATTCATTAAGACATCTTTGTAGTTTTCTTGGATATTTAAGTGCTCCTTCTCCTCCCAGGCTATACTAGAGGCATGTAGTTCTGCCAAGTGTTCCAAACTAGTTTATAATGGTTTATTGTATAGATTTCCGAGGTTTTAAGGTGTCTGTAATTTTGGGTAAGATCTTCTAGCACTAAAATATCATTCCGACTGTAATAACACTTGGGAAAGAGTTTTTTTGTGGCTAAGAAGAAATATTTAAACTGAGTTTAATTATTGTTTTAAGATTTTAAAGCTTACTTACCATATTTCTGTACATTTGGCAGTATATTTGTATATAGAGAAGACTCCTTAAGGAACACTCCTTTGCGTTCACATTCCTCTCTCTGGGGTATATTTTTGCGTGGCAAACTTTTAATAAAATATTCCGGTTTATAAATCTCTTGCTTTAAGGTATCTTCAACTATTAAGCGAAATTTGTAGTACTCTCCCATGTAGCCCATTAAATCATTAGAGCCTAAATCTAGCTCAGATTTAAGAATCTTTAAATGGGATTTATCACTTTTTGTTAGAGTTCTTTGGGCTATGAGCAGACATTCCTCTAAGCTAAGCAGATCCATGGCAAAAAAATCTAGATGATAGCTACTTGACTTCTAAAAACTTATTAAAATTGTTGTCAGAGTGATGAAATCTTTTATAGTAAGTCTGGGAGAAGCTGTCTGAGCTATATATATGAGATTATAATAAAAAAATTGTAGGTAGAAGAAGATACTCTAGAGTCTCTATCTATTTTAGTTCAATTTTGAGATTATAAAACCCTATAATACCCTAGAAACCTTTTTATTTTTTATATAACTACTATATTTTACCAATTATTTCAATAACATTGCTCTGGTATACATAAAACACTAACTCATCTAATAATGGTAAGTTTTTAAGTTTAAAATTATTTTTAGAAAATAAATTCTGCTAGCTTATACATATATAACCAAAGACCCCATAAGTCTAATATACCCCATAAAAATAGTATAGAAGAATAACCACCAAACCTTATCAACTTTCACTGATTAGATTATCTCAAGTTCGCTCTTGAATTGAGTTGAATAAATATGTAGAGAGAAGCCTCATCCCGACGACTGATAAAAAGCCGAGTGTTACCAGGCGACCAGCAAGATAGTGAATTAAAACCAAGGTTGATTAATCACTTTATTTTATTATATGTCAGTTCCAGTAAATCTCCCACACACTCGTACATATAATCTCGAAATTCTGGATGATCTTTCATCAAACGTAAAACATCTTCAGTGCGATCCACATTACAGAAACGATGAAAGTCCGCTGGTCTCGTATCTTTGAGGTTCTTTAGATAATTATCAGGCAATCGCAAGATTGTGGCAGCTATGCAATTGTAGGTCACACCAAACAAAGCGAAATCCTTTAGGGATTGCTCAAATTCTTCCAGACTCAATTGTTCCTTGTTGGCATCGATACCCATTTCCCTGAGATCCTCAGCCAAGGTATTGTAATAGGTTTTGATCAGTTTTCCTATTATTCTTTACGTTTAGATGGCTCCAAATTGAGGTAACTGACCAGATGGAAGTCCACGGCTGGTGGGGCATAGCGACATAGTTGAAAGTCTACCAGAGAGATCTCTTCTCCTGCGGTGCTCCTTGTGATAGAAGACATTAGCCCCCCAGGCATCGCGATGAACAAAGACATTTCGATGTAATGGTGAAGGATTAACCATATAGTATACGTTATCCAAATATCTGGGTAGATCTTTAGCTATATATTCCTGAGCTTTGGCATTATCACGTACATCGGGATGGGTGGCAATGACTGCTAGGACCGCCTGTATAAGGGATATAATATAGTTTAAAATTATTATCTACTTATTGCCTAACTCACCCTCAAGCCCGTGGTATACCACTCAACATCCGGATCCACAGATTTTTCCTGTAACCACTCTTTCAACTCAATTCCAATGGTTTTTCCCTGCTCCTTTTCGTAGGCAATACTGCATGCATGCAAAGTGGCCAGGGTTTTCAGTATAGGATTCAATTGATCCTCGTTAAGGTAACGAGTGCCTGCTGGTAAGGCCACATAACCCATATCCTCCACATTTTGCATCACAAAAAGATCATCTCGGGTGAAATAACACTTGGCACACCACACATGGGGGGCTTTAATTATCACAATGATATTACTTATTGCTTTTAATTTATTATATATACTTACAAAACTTCTTCAGTTGATTCAGCAACAATTCATACAGCTTTATTTCCTTTTTGATGATTCCCATCTTTTCCATATAGAATTCCATATTGGCATTCTGAAAGATCACCGATTTGACAAAGAGTCGCGTGGTCTGTTCATCTTCTTGGTTCTCCAACTGATAGGTGAGATTCAGGTGAAAGTATTCACCCAAAAAACCCACATGTTCCGAGGCCGGCACTATTTCAAAACGTTTCAAGACTCCCCGTTGTTTCTTATCATTCAATAAATTTAACAAAATCTCTTTACACTCGTCTAAGGTAAACAATTCCATTCGATTTTTACGCGTCAGTATGGGATTGTAGTCGTTGGTACTCATATTTTTGATTTCAGAAATCTTTAACAATCAATAAATGTTTATAAATCTACTTGGCAATCGCGATTGAACAGCTCAAGACTTAGCTGGGGACTGTTTTCGTTTTCAATGGGAACTAAGAATTATACTGAGGCGAGATACTGTACAAAGTTTGGGGTATATTAGCTGGTTTAATTCGGTAAAATTATCTAATTTAAATATTATTAAAAATATTATAATAGTGTTCTTTCCACTCATAATTAATTAAAAATCTTGTCTTAAAATCAATAACTACATTATTTATTTCTTTTGTTATTGAAATACTAGCTTCGTTATGAAATTAATACTTTAATTTATTAATATAAATATTCCCATTTATTTCCCATAAATAAAAGAGTATCTCAGCTTCTATAATATTTAAAATATATTTTTTTTTATTTACAATCACTTTTATCTCATTATAAAGGGAATCTGCCGATAAGAAGTGTTCCTACTTCCTTATCGCATGTTTTCCCTGGCCAAGGCCATCTCCATGACATCCACACAGCATCTTCCATATATCTTCCAAACTCTTGATCCTTTTTCATATGATTAAGGATAATTTTACTGCGATCCACATACTTGAAGTCATTTGTTATAAATTCCTGGGGAACCTTGACAATTGTGGCAGCCACCGCCCTATAGACCACACCAAATAAACGATAATCTTCATAGGATTCAATGAGTTCAGCTTTTCAATCACCAATTCTCAAGCTCAAAATCTGATAGATTTTTCACCAAGAAACTGTGATACAAATCAATGCATTTTCTCTCTATATTTCTTCTATTTTCCGAGCTGAAATTCATGTAAAGACTAAAGTTTAAGTCGGAAGCTGGCGGTGTATAGCGACAAGTTTGAAAATCTATGAGCAAAGCAGATGCTGATTTTTCGACCGGAAAAAAATATTACCCGACCAAAGATCACGATGACAGAGAACGTTCTTGTATTTTTTTGAAGGTGCAGCTTGCTCGTAAATCTCCTCCATTATCTTAAGAAGTTTAGTGTCTATAAAGTTCTGATCTCTCTTCCCCTGATATTGTGGAAGACTTCGAACTGCAGCCAGGACAGCAGAGAGTCCTGTGGTGAACCAGGCTATCTTCGAGGCCACTGTAATCTCCAGCAAATGATCTGCATAGGTTTCTCCTATATTTTTTTGAGTTTTATGTTCATAAATTAAGCTGGCAGCATGAAAAGCAGCCATTGATTTAATTAATTGCTGCATATTATCCTGTGAGAGTTCGGGTTTCTCTGATGGTCTATAACCTTTTAGTTTGATGTCCTCCAGACCAATAAATCGCTGCGAGTGAAATAACATTCGGCGCTCCATTTTGTAGAGGCTTTTGGGAAGCTTGTTATATATTCTAAGATTTTAATTTATATTATTTCTTAATACTTACAATATTTCTGCATCTCAGCTAGTAAAGTCTCATAAAGCCATGCTTCTTTTTGGAATATGGCTTCTTTGGCGAGCTCAGCACTTGCTTGAGGCAAGGCTTTTAAAAATAGTTTAATTTGTTTTGTAATTTTGTCTTCCTCCTAAAAGTAGGCAAATTAAAATTTAATTTATATTTCTTGTGTTAAAAGTAAATTATTTTTTACATAAGCCTCAAAGGGTTATCTTTTTGGACCTTAGCAAATTAATCTATCAACAGGTTTTTATTAATGATTGTCAATAATTTAAAACTTAGCCTTAAAAAATGTTCGCTGATAAGGAATATCATTTTTTATTTAAATTATTCTCATTAAAATTTGATAAGCCGCCACTATCATTTCCTATCTTTTTATGGAGCCCAACTTTGTATCTCTCAGATGCACTTCCTCCTTGGCAACAATATAGCATCATACTTACATTACAGTATCTCAGAGTTAGGGCATAGTAATCCCCTAGATAACCGATGGCGTCAAGATCTTTAATTACTTGATAATCGATAAGTTTGACGCCTTTCGCTCCGCTTTTCACATTTTCCAGTATTTTCTCGCACTCATTGCGGCTAAGCAGCATATTGCGTATACGTAATGTGGGCGGCGTATTACGTATACGTACGATATCACTCTCTCTTTTTGGTCTCTTATTTGCGGCTGAGACAGATTTTCCGGCGATTTTCACTCAGTCACCTCAACTGTTGGCCGTGCACAACTGAGCAAAAATAGAATTTCGCTCAGTTTTTATTTTCCGATCTTCTGAACGAACCGAACACAGCTGTGCATCGGAATTGAAAGTAATCTTTATGCATATCTGAGCGATAAGATTTAAAGATTTCAGAGGCGTTGCACCTGTTAAAATATGGGGCACAAAAGGAGTCTCAGTTGGGGAATAAAGAGAGCTTTCTTTGATATAATAGAATAGTTTAATAATGAAAAAAATATAATGTTTATTAATGTAACAACGTTGTCTAGCTAGAAAAATATCAAAAAAGAGGAGGCTTTGTGCTGCTGGCGAACAGAAATAAATTAAAAAATGACTTATAGGTGATAAATATTATTTACTATATTTATTGTTAGGCCTAAAATTATTTAATTCATTTTATTTTTTTTATTTTCCATTCATTAATTTTAAGCATTTAATTTAATTTAATGAATTTATATCCCTCTTCTTTGGTTCTTTTATATTATATATTATTGCTAGTGAGTAGTAACTTTAATTCAATTACAATAATTTCTATTTAAACATTTTTTTTAATTTAAAAGTGCATAAACATATCTCTTTTTATAGCTAAAACTTTTAAACATTTTATTTTAATTAGTAAAATATTTCAAATATTGATTTCTGTTCAGTAAAATCTTTTGGGTAACATTAAACGTTTCAGGCGATTTTTCTCATGGATATAAGTGCTATAAGGCCGAATGGTGATATAGTAAAAGATTTCCACAAAACTGAGCAGACTTGCGCCCACAAAAAGGCCAGTAGTTCCACCAATAGATACTAGAAAATAATTTAAAAATTTAATGATTAATAAATAATTTATTATTAATAAATTATATTTAAAGCCTTGCAGAGTATTTTATTAATTTAATTTAATTTATTTACCTCGCTCTCACGCTCTCTCTCTTCCTCTCTCTGCATCTCAATGTTTTCTGGTTTGCCTTACACTCCCTGGGTAGCTCTAGCTCTCCTACTCTCCTACTCTCTAACTCCCTCTGCTTCCCTAGTGATAGCGCTCTCTCTCTCTCTAACTCTCAATTTCTCTGTTCTCTTTACTCGGGGACTATAAATAGAGCGCTGCTGGCCCGCCGGCCTCAGTCTGTCCGTGGGGTACCCAGTGTTAACATCTAAAGTGATCGTGGAAGTGATAGTGATTGCCCTTGGACTCCAAAAATATCATCTGGATCTGGATAACGAGGAAGCAGCTCACCACGTCATACCATAAGAAGCCTAATTAAGTCATGGAATATAACTCTACACCGGAAGTAACTAATACGGATGAAAAACGTGGTTAGCTAAGTCTTAACATAACATTATTTATATTTTCATGCATAAAGATGCTTTGGAGCTATACTATAATTATTATTTACTTATATATTTAGTTAGTTATATAGTTTATTATTTTAGTTATATAATTACCATAGTGTTTCTTTCATTTACTCATATATGACTTCTTAATGATCCTATTATAAACTGCAAGGGTACATTTGGCATACCAAAGCAAGTTTCCTTTCTTATTTTCATTAATTCATTAACTCACCAACTAAATCCAATTTGCCTCGCACTAAATTCCTTTTATATCTCTCCGTGGGCAGCTCAATGAGACCCACTTCGATCCTGGACACTGGATTCTGCTGTCCCGCCATATTATCCTTGCTATCATAGACCGTCGTAATGTCCACTTCCGTGCAGGATGGCAGACAGTCACACACGAGACCCTTACGACCACGTCGCTTTGACCATTTGGCTATGATCACCGATAGATCCTCATAGTTCCGATTCAGACACTCCAAGCCATCCATATTGCAGAGCTGCCAGTCGGGTGAGTTGGGGGACAGGTGGCTGGAGCAGTTGCACAGTTCCATCTGCCGATCCTTGCGACACTGCACGGTGCAGGCACTATAGCTATAGTGACTGTGCACATCCAGGATATTCTCATCGGCAAAGCGGCAGTTCCGCTGATGAACACTCGTCTGACGGATCTCCTCGTCGTTCTCAATGTCACGCTTAGAGATGTATCTTCTGGTACATATATTATATTTTAATTTAGATAATATTTTAAGTATTAAATGTAAAATTGTGAAAAAGTTGAATGAAAACCAACAATTTCATGTATTATAATGTATAAAAATAATTAAGATTTTGATTGATTTGATTTTGACGTTGCATCAAAGCTTCTTACCTTCGTATACCACAAGAAACCTAATCATATTATATATGCTATTTTGGGTAAATCCAAATTTTCAATACCATAACTAAGCCAAAAATGCATTAATATCAATTCGAAACTTTTTTGTGTTTTTTGTAGGCTATATAAATTCTAATTAAAATTTCATACATTTTAACAATTTTAATACACATTAAATTTTAAGATAATCAAAAAATGTTGCATTTTTTTGCAAACATGGCTAGTTTGATTCCCCTTTTGATGCTGATCAAGAATATGTACATATATGATTTATAAGTCGCAAATCATTCCTTCACTGAATTTTAAGCTTCTGACTAAATTATAATACCCTTCAAGGATATGTAAATATTTCTCACTTACAAGATTTACAAGTTTTAATTTAATAATATTTTAGTATATTTTCTTATAAAAAAGTGGTCCTATAAAAAGAAATATAGGTTTTGATTACAAAAATAAAAAAAAATATTTGAAGTTGTTAATAATTACAGAAAATATTTAAATAATAAGAAATAATATTGTTGTAATTTTATTATAGTAAATATTTCTTACACAAAGGATATGTAGGGTCCAACCACCAGGAAATCTGTTTTGGGTGTGACTAATGTAGGTACTTCTTCAGTGCCCAAAATAAAAACCTGTTCATGAGAAAAAAATATTAAATTATGATAAAAATGATTACCTAATTCTTATTAATTACTTAAAAATTTACTTTATATTTTATATAAACAAAATTTGGAAAAAGGTTTAATGAAATCCAAATTTTCTCTTAGGTTAAAGAGCTTTTCAAAAATCCACAGCACACTTTTAGGTTGTGGACTTTCAAACTGTCTATGATTATATTTATTTAAAATTATTTTTTGAGCTCTATTTTTTATATATGTTTTTTTTTTTTTGTTAATTTCAGTTTTGATAACCTAATTATTTTATTATTTATTATTACCGTAGCCTCCGTATGCAATTCCATTCTCAAAGCTCCCGGTCCGCTGTCTCGATTTGAGTACATATTCAACTTGGGGGCTTTGCTGCTACTAAAAATATTAAAATTATTTTAATATATTATTAAATTATAAATATTTTAAAGTATTATTTGAGATATTTATAAGATAAACCCACCCCGCTTGCAGTGAATTAATGGCATAACATATTCCCAGCTCCGTTTCCATGCGATGAAAGTATTTGCAGCACTCGAAAGGCTGATTATTCCACTCGCAATTACTGATGGAATCCACACAGCTGCTCCTGACCAGTTCGGCATAGTAAGAGAAGTTGGAATAGAAGCAGGAGGCGGTGACCTCCTCACCACTGCACTCATGGACCGTGTGATAGGATTCGCCCCTAAAAAAGGCAATCTCGCTAAGGACCTCCTCCAAGGTGAAGTCATGATCGGCGCCCCATAATCTGATAGGGAAAGGGGAGAAAATATATATTTTTTCCATCTAATAGTAACCTTCTGGAACCTACTGCTCAGCCACCTCTTGAATCCGATCCATATTCTTTGATTCACAAACAATAATCGCTGGAAAATTGGTATTCCAATCCCGATACGAACTCTCCACCACAAAGCTAATGGCATTGTTCTCAAAGGCACCTGAAAAGATGCCTCATCTTATCTTTATCCCAAGAGGAAGATATGAAAGCAAACTCACTCAGTGAGGCCTTTATGAGCAGCCAGGAGGCATACCACGAGACCACCAGACAGATGACCCAGAAGATGCGCTCCAACCAACTGGCATCCTTGTCCACAATGAACCTGGCTCCATGCAAAGTGGAGTTCTCCAGATACTCCTCTATAATGCGTCCGAATCTCATAATGGATTGTGGTCACTCCAATGTCCAAATAGTGACTAATTTCGTATTATTTGTGTAACTGCAATCGAGGACCTTATTAATGATTATTGGATATCTGTTAACCATCTCCGGCAGTTGTTTATTTTCCCAGACTTTTCTAACACGCAACTGTTCCCGGGGAATTAAATCAACATTTATCTAAAGATTTACTTTTGCTAGAATACAGTTATATTTGCTGCGCACAAATAATGTCTCAAGACACCGTTTATTTACTTGGATATTAAAAGTTAAATCTGCTATAAATTTTGGCAAATTAGTTGCTAACGTGGAAGTGCGAGGGATTTGCGTAAAACGTTTAATCTTTGTGTAAGTAAATAATATTACATTAATGTAGTAGCGACACACGATTAAGATATAGTTATTAGAAGAAGGAATATTGGTTAGCAATGTGGGTTAAAAGGGGGTTTAATGAAAGGTTGAATGGGATGAGTTTAAAGAAATATTTAAGATCTATAACCTGATGAAATAAATAAGTAACAAATATTTCATAAAGAAATAATGGAAAAATGATTAAATGATTTATTTAATAAATATATGAAACATTTAAAATTCAATGACATACGCATCACTCTTATCCTACAGTTATTGGCATTTATTATAAAATTTTTACCCCATTTGCTGCGTTCCTTTGACTTTTCAAAATCAGGGCCTTGAACTCCTTTTCGAATTTCATAATTTCGCACATTTATTTTCGCTTTCATCAGCCATTCAACGCCTGATTCGACACACTCCCATAAGCTGACCCTTAATTCCCAGTTACACAGTCTAGGCCCAATGCAAATAATATGAGAGATTTTGGTACTAAGGCTTTTCCAACTGGCAATCCCCCCGCCACGAGACTATACACACTTCCCTATCTGGCGAGAGATACACTTGTCCCTATCTCGACCAGAATTTACAACAGTCTGGTGGGAGGGTGGATCTATATAAAAAGCCGAACCCACTGCCAGAATTCCAAAACAGAATAGAATAGAACAGAATATTGAGATGGCCACTGCCCTGGAATTGAGCAGCAACGAGATTCGCGGCCTTTGCCAGCGTTATCTTCACCAGGATGTGCCAGAGTCGAATCCAGGATTCGATATCATTAGCTATCAGCTGAAACCCACCTCGGATGCACCGGCTGGTTATCTGGGAAGTCACTTCTACCTGCAGGTCACCCTGAAGCTGCACAACTCGGACGAGGAGCCCCGCCAGCTGACCTTCTTCTCCAAGTCTGCACCCGAGGGCAATGAGGCGCGAATGGAGTATTTAGAGGACTTTGGAGTCTTCCAAAAGGAGATTGCTGTCTACCAGAATGTCCTGCCTGAACTTCACAAAGCCTGTGCCGAGGTGGCCCCGAAGTGTTACTATGCAGACAAGAATCTCCTCGTTTTTGAGAACCTCGCTGATCAAGGATATCGCATGGGTGCAAGTCGTGATGGTTTATTGTCATACGAAGAGCTCCATTGTTGCCTAAAGACCTTGGCTGCCTTGCATGCTGGTTCCATCATCCAGGAGCAGAAATCGGGTAAAAAACTTCCTGAAACCCAGCCGAAATCAGTGGTGGAGAATGCCTATCCCAGTAATGTGGGTCCCAAACATCTGCGTTGGGTAAACTTCCAGAATGCCTGCCTGGTGCTCAAGGAGTTCATTAAACTGATGCCTAAATATCAAGACAAGTTGGATTATATCTTGGAGAATTTCATTCAGAGGATGTCCTTTATTTTCGAGGCTGTCAAGACCTCGGAGAAGTATCTAAACACCCTACTCCATGGCGATTTGTGGGCCAATAATATAATGTTTCAGTATGGAAAATATGGTGAGAGTCCGCTGCAGTGTCGCCTCGTGGACTTCCAGCTGGCAAGGTATGCACCACCTGTCCTGGATGTCCTTACAGTCCTGACTATACCCACATCGAAGCAGTTCCGGGATGCCCATCTCCAGGAACTTCTGGCGGAGTATTATCGCTTTATGACCGAGTTCCTGAAGCGTGCAGGTTTGGATATAGCTCGATTTATGCCGGAAAAGAGTTTTTACGATTCCGTGGAGGAGTTCAGCAGCATTGGTCTCATCGAAAGCTGCCTTTTCTGCCATTTGGTGACTCTGCCACCAGAATCCACCAAGAAGCTGACCAGCTCCGCCGATGGCTTCAGTGATTTCTTCAGCAATCGTCGGATTGAGATCTGTGTGGAGGCCTTCAACAAGGATGAGTTATACAGAAACCGTTTAACGGACATGGTTCAAGATTTTGTGGATAATTTTGTACTCAAGGGGGAAGAGTAAACTTAAATTAATTGCTAAGTAAACATATTAATATTAATTGAAAGACGTGTACATATATATAACAAAATATAACAACATTTAAGCTTAATTAAATTGCATTTAATGAAGAATAGAAAGTGATAAGTTTTTCATTTCAAAATTTCATTATATTCCCCCAAAAAATATAATTACAAGCCTTGAAAATTCAAAAGCGAATCCCTCAACCCCAAGTTAAGTTTTTACTCAGCATTTATTTAACATGCTTCGTTGAGTTTTCATTTTCGTTTCCATTTTCATTTTCGTTTAGCTTCTCTTTTGCTTGTTTTCTTTTAAGTTTTAAAAACTTTCAAGCTGTGTCCAAAACCTGCAATCCGATACGAAACGATACGATCTCCGGCTTCGGCCAGTCTCCGGCCGCTTGGCTTAAACTCAACTTAAACTTAAATTCAGTTGCCAATTGGCCGCGTTCAATTCAACAACTGCTGGCGGCTTAAAAACTCACAAAAAAACTCAACTGTCACTTAAAGCCTTAATGAGAAAATAAATAAAATCGCCTTAGTTTTTCTAAATCGTTTAATCGGGTTTTTATTAATCAAACAAAATGTGAGTTTAAATTAAATTAAATAAGTGTGTGATCAAGTGTTTGCTTTGATTTTAATGTATATTTCTTAATTTTGTGCAAAGAAGATGTTAGGAAATTGAAGTGGTTGAATGAATGTTAAATAAATAAAATACAAATTCAAGGACTTATATTTTTTAACTAACTTTAAGATGTATATTTAAAATTATGCATATTACCAAGGATGTTCACCAAAATCAAATCTTTTTATAAATAAAATGATTCCCCTTTCTACACATATATAAAATAAATAAATAAATAAATTTTAAGAATACAAAAATAACACATAAGCTTGTGTTAGAAATCTTAAAATCAATTACAAAGTTATTAAAAGTTAAATAACAATACATATATATCTAAAAGCAAACTTCCTCTTAATTGAAAAGTAAAAATTAACCAAATGCTAATAAATGTATAAAGTTAATAAAGTATTAGCTAAGCTAGCTACACAATAAATATAAAATATAAATATAAAGTACTCAAATACAATTTAAAAGAATAACCCTTCATAAATACTTTGCGCTCTAAACTCCGGGATTCCCCGCTTTAAATCCTCTAAGAAATATTTGTAGTCTCCAAAATTACATAATATTTAAAGCCCCATAAAATGCAATGATCCCACAGCATATAATTTTTAAAATTAAAAAATTCGCTGCGGTAGTCACCTCCCATAAAGTGAAGCAAAACTGTGACAAAAAAAAAAGAGGGACAATAAAAATGTGACAAAAAACTGTGACACGTACAATGAAAAAAGCCCATAAACTACTTGACCTATCACAAGAGCAACAATAGCAACAATAGTTTAAAATTGTTGACGACAACAACATCAACATAGCATTCATTGACTGACAAGCATAAAATCGAAAAGCAGAAAGTAAAAAAACTTACGACGCCTGCACTCAACACATAGTTTTGTTTAACGATCACGTTTTTTTAACAAATGCGCAAAAATGCCCAAAAAAATTAAAAATCAAAAAAAAAAAAGAGGGTAACCACACTGAAATTCATAAAAACACAGACCCAATAAACTTTATGAAAATAATAACAATAATGCAACCAACAAAAAATTTTGTGTGCCGCATTTTCAATTAACCAAAGTGAAGACCCAAAACAAATGGCTTTTAGCCCATATTTCGATTTGGCCACTTACGCCATTTGGCTAATAAATATGATCCGCATATCGAATATTGACCATGGGTGGCAAAGGGGGCGTGGCTTATTGTGGGAGTGCCAATGGACGGGAAGGCGCGTGCCTCGAGCTTAAATAGGTTATCACAGTTATTACCAAATACGAAATATCAGGCTATTTATAATATGGCTTTAATTGAATATTAATTTAACTTTATATAAATTTTTATTCAGTGTGAAATCTGATACGAAATATTATGCTAAATAATAATACTAGATTAATAATTTTAGATTAATATTGATTGGCTATATCTCAAATTTGATGAAAATCTGTTGAAAGTTGGAAAAGTTACAATTTTTTCTTGAACTCCGATTGTTCCTATGTCAGCTATATGTATGTATATGTATATATGTATATAGTCCACCAATTCGGCATGCTCCGATTTATAAACTTGTAAAATTATATAGAAGATCAACTGCATAGTTTCATTAAGATAGCTTACACCTAATATTGGTTCAAATCAAATCTCGCATATGCATATGATTCTCAACTAGTTCTAACATCCCCGGAACGAAGTGACTTCTGCCAGCCGAGTTTCAGAAAAGTGTTGTGTTACAAAAGTTGCAAGTCATTGTTTATTAGTGTTCAAACTTAGTAACTGATCATACATACTTACTGGTCATAGATACTTGATGATCATACTTACTTACCAATTATAGATACTTAATGTTCAGAGTTACTTACTGCTCATAGCTACTTACTGGTCATAGATACTTGCTGTTTAGAGTTAATTACTGATCATAGTTAATTACTGATCATATTTAAATAAATCGTCCGATTGTTCCTATGTCAGATATATGTATATATGTATATATATATAGTCCACCGATTCTGCATGCTCCGATTTATAAACTTGTAAAATTATATAGAAGATAAACTGCATAGTTTCATTAATATAGCTTGCTCTTAAATTGTTCCAAAATAAATCTCTCCCATGCATATGATTCTCAACTAGTTCTAACATCCCCGGAACGAAGTGACTACTGCCAGCCGGGTTTCAGAAATGTGTTGTTACAAAAGTTGCAAGTCATTGTTTATAAGTGTTCAAGTTAGTTACTGATCACACGTTTTTACTGGTTATAGTTACCAAAGGATCAAAATGGCTTAATGTTCATTGATACTTACTTGTAAAAGTTACTTACGGCTTATACTTAATTACTGCTCATAGTTAATTATTGATCATTGTTATTTACTGATCATAGTTACTTAATGTTGATATATACTTTAAGATCATTGTTAATTAATGAAACATACATAAATATATATCATTATTTGAATATTTTATATTATTATCCCATGAAAAACCAAACTATTTAAACCCCTTAAACTGCATATTAAATCCCATTTAATTACCATCTGTCACAACCTCCATACTGAGCTACTCCTCTTCCTCAAACAATATTTTAAAGAAAACAAATGTAAAACAACATTTTTAATTAAAAACTTCATGGGGAAGTGAAATGTGCACAAAAAAGGGGCAACAAGACAACCATCCTCTACCTCCGGCAACCTTGAAATGATTTAAAAAGTTACACTTTCGAAAAATTTAACGATCACTTGGCTACCGCTCGCCGCCGGCTAAAACTTGTAATGAACATTAAGTGCGAAGAGGTTTTCGTACCCATCCAGCTCTCATCCCTGATGATATATTATATCCCAAGGTTCCTGCATAACGGTAGCGATTCACCTAATTTTCCAGACCCAGTTTTTTGATCCCACGCACCCAAAATAATTATATACCTAGAAAAATTGTAACAGATGCGTTCAAACGTTCATGTTTCCTCATTGTCCGGCATGCAAAATGTAAACAAATTTGTGGACTTGTTGTAGAATAACAATAATACACAATACGTCAATCTTTGTCAATTAACCACATGACCCAAATTGGGAATGCTATAGCTACGTACATATATATATATATATTTGTATATATACCATGGAATGTACGTACGTCTGCCTGTCCTACTGAAAAGAAAAAAAGCGAAAACTGCAGCGGCGCTCCGTTGACGCCAATTGGATTCCATTGACCTAATCATGGTGTATAGTCACTGCTGTTCAGTTGCCGAGAGCTGCAAGTAAGTAGCTGAGCGAAAAGCCCGGACTCCGTACTCGAAATGAGCCCCCGAAAACCTGAAAATGCCAACACATTTCTCGTCTGGCAACGGCGGTGGCGATGGCGGCGCATGCGCAAAACGCCAGCAAGAATTGCATAAGACGATGATGATGGCCGGGGGTACCAAAGTTGGCCATTGGATGCCCAGCGAACAAGTCACGGGACACCAACTTGGGTGGGGTTTATACCCCACCATCAAGTGGGTGCTGCTGGGTCACTGAACCAAAATATATAATCACACCTACATATAATATATGTACATATATATTTTTGCCACACAAAGAAGGAGATGTCTTCAAATTTAAATGGTTTTATGCGCTCGAAAATGCAGTTCCGCATTATTATATTCTTAATTTATGAGTTCTTTTATTTGGTAAAGTGATACAATGTCTTCAGAATGAAATAAGTCGAGATTCGGGTCATTTGCAATATAAAATTGGGAGCAGCAATAAGGAAGAATAATGCATTTAGGGTTCCTGGTCATTTTGGTTTATAATGATCATAAATACTTATACTTAATTTCAGCCAATTTATAAAAATGATATAATCTTAAATTATGTTCTTATTAATATGTAACTTTAAAATGCAATTAAATTTGATCCTTTGATAGAGGAAATATTTGATTTGCAGTGATATATCAATACTATATTAAATTTTACAATATAAAAGAAGAATTGGTTTAATATAATTAAGGAATTTTTCATCAATTTCTATATTAAACGTTAAATTCGATTTGATGTATATTAAAATATATATGATATTTTTACCCTTGCAGAGGTTTTATATTTTTAGTCAGTGAAGAAGTCATTTCTGACCTATAAATCATATATATTTTTAATCAGAAGGAGCAGGCGAATTTTCTAGCTTTATTAGAAAGAAATTTTTTTTGAATATTTTATCAGGGGTTACTTCGTTAAAATGATCAAAAATTGGCAAAAAAATTGTAAATTTTTAAATATTAAATTAAATATGCAGATATAAAGCTTCCCAAAACTAACATAGTAACGTCAGAATTAAAATTAAAGCATTTTTGACTTAGTTATGAATTTTTTAATTTTAAAGATTTTATTTTAAACTAACCACTTCATATAAACCTATAAATAAGGGCAGGTTCCCTTAAAAACTTCATTATATTTACAAATGTCCTTCCGCAAACCCGAAAAGCCACCTTTAACAAGTATTTACCAAATAAGTATCCAAGTACACAGTCCAC